TGTATGGCCATGTCGGCAGTGGACGCGGGATTTGTGGGAATCATAGACGCAAGGGAATTGGAGTCAGAAACGAGGAAGAAAAAAAGGTCTTCGTCTGGCGACAACCAACGAGTTGGCAGTATGCAGCTCCTCCTTCACGAATGAGGAAAATAAGAAGATACCCTACAGCAGTGGAGGGGTACAAGCGGGAGTCGACCATATTCCTAAGGAGATCATATATCAAAACTATGAAGGTATCAAAATACTGCCTGGTGACAATGTGGGCACCAGCACAGGACTATCCTAACAGGCTCATGGACGAAAATGAAGCGAAGGAGTCGGTGGTGAAAGTTGTACCGAGCTCATAGGATCTCATTCAGAAGATGCTGGGAGCTGAATTGTCAGATCCCGACGAGCCAATCCGGTAGACTTGGAGCAGCGCCGTGGGAGCCATCCACGGCGCTGCTACAAGTCTATCGGATTGGCTCGTCCTGGGGAAACGCTGGGGAGACTGGTGGTGGAATCCACGAAAAAAGAGCGATTGCAGTCTAGAGATTTGTGGGACAGAAGAAAGCAGCTTACAAGCGCTGGGAAAAGAGGCGAACTCTGCTCACAGAACTTCCTCGCCTAACTGACTCGCCTCATAGCTGCTGTAGCGTAGGAAAAGAATGCCGAAATGGACGCCTTGTACGAGAATCGCGAGGATGCAATCCTGCGAAATCTTGCTGAGGTTAGACGTAGGAAGAATGAATACTCGACAGGCTTTCATACGTAGCGTGCTCTTAAAAACAGCCCCTAATCAAGGCGACGCTGTCCCCATAGCACTCTGGACAGTGTTGAGATATGGTTGCAGTATTCTTGTGCCGTGCGAGGTTGCTAGGTGGAACAACTTGTTAGTCAACGGCCTGACGTTTCGACATTTTCGTCTTCTTCAAAGGCCTAAAGCAACTCGAGACAATCTGCACAGTACCCGAAAAGCGCATTACCACCTGACGAATGCCACAGCGATTTCAAAACCCGTAATTCGAATCATAACTCACCAAGGTTCACCGCTCAAGCGGATACAAAATCCGCTGTCGCCACAAGCGACTGTCAGTAGCGAATAAGACTTATTGGCCGTCTTCCTTACTTCTGATAAGGAGGTCACGTTATAATGCTACTAACCAGGGAGGGGTAGTCTACTTAATGTGGGACTTTGAATGAAGACCCAGATAAATCGATAGAGTTTCGAATGCTGTTTACGAAAAAGGGAATTAAAACTGCAAAATGGTTTTCCTTAAAAAGTTATGAGGGCTCGAATTTTGCTTGACAGTAGTATTAATTGAATATGCGAACTAGTCGCTTTACTACCAAACGCCCACGTGCCCTAGCGGTAGTGGTCTCGCTTCATTGCCATAAAGTGAGGGTTCGCTCCCCGACATCGACGGCATTTTAGCAAAGTGTTTTTTCATTTCGTTAGAGGCTCTCTAACAATTTTCTGACGTTTCTTTGAGTGAACGTCTTATTTCTGCTTTTATTTATCTCTCATCGCCCCTATTTAAGGAAAGTGGTTCTGCAAATTAATTGTATGACTCTTTTTTGTTTTAAACTTCAAGGAACATTCAACAGAAAGATACTAGAGATGTATAAGGTGCCTGCAAAGGACGCCTTGAGCCGATTGACTGTTTTGTCACCGGATGTAGAGAATCAGCATGTATAAGGCGTGCAGTTTGTGAACAACATGGGTGCTTCACGCGTTTTTAAAAAGTTTTTTTCATCATTGTTTAAATTTTACAGGCATCTTGCACACCTCTAGCACTTTTCTGTTGAACGAGACCACTACCAATAGGACACGTGGGCGCTTGATAGTGAAGCGACGAGTTCGCATATCCAATTAATATTATTGTCAAGCAAATTTCGAGCTCCATAACGTTTTAAGGAAAACCATTTTGCAGTTTTAATTTCCATTTTCGTGAACAGCATTCAAAACTATCGATTTATCTGGGTCTTCATTCAAAGTAGACTACCCTGCTTGGTAAGTCAAAAGTTGCAGCGCGGTATATATGGCAAAAGATCATTGGTTATGGACGGGCACTCATCTCTACCGTTCATTTTAGGATTTTTTTTGGAAAATCCAAAACGCCTCTAATGCCTTTCTCGCTGAAATCTCCGTCTCTAATCTTCAAAATTGTTGCTGTTATGCTCCTCAATTGATGCCTACCGAGCGCCGTCATCAGGCTGCCACGCCTCATACTCGCTAGATGTTCCTTTATTCGTACAGCTAGTTGTCTTCCCATTTCTCCGATGTATGTTGACCCTTATGTTCGGCATTCCATCTGGTAGATCACGCCTTTCAGTGCGCAATCACCTGTTTTTCCGATAGGACATTTGATGCAACCTTTTGTTATGCACTGGTTGTTGTAGAGTCTTTTCGAACTAATAGCTGCTTGATATTGTTATGTGTTCCCATCCTGCGCCTGTACTCCTACCAAGTTTGAACTTTCTAGGTCCACGGGACAGGAGTTATGACTTTACAAAATGTTTTCATAAAGCATTGCCTTTCATTAGAACGCCCCGCTCACCGGGGGAGGGTCTCTCCAGTTCGACCGTTGTTACCAATGCACACATCCAGCCACCTTTAAAACCCAGTTTTGAAGCCGTCTTGTGACTGAATTTGAAATCATGGTCCTCAGTACACCTCATTTCGATGCACGCCACGCCTGCTGCGGGCGGTTCTCCACCAAGCTGATGTGTGCTTTATACTTCTCGGAACATGACCCACTCATCCCACGCTTGACGCGGTCTCCAGGCAGACCTAAAGGAGCTAAGGAATTTCGTGACAGACATACAGACAGACGTCAGAGAGACAGAACGACAGTCGAAGCGCTTTATAGTAAGTAGGATCTATTATCTATCTACTATCTATTTTATATATATATATGTATATATGTATATATAGAGAGAGAGATGAATCAATTATTTATAAATTCACCAGTTGAGCTATGCATGCTCACGCGCCCATCATATTAGTTTATCAACTAATTGACGTGGATACCCAGTGCTGCGATTATGTAGTCAAAAGCAACGCTCGACATAGAAGTTACATCATAGTACTTTGATGATTGGTTCATAGGACTCCGTAAGATGGTAAAAAAGCTCATTCTATCACTGCTAACAATTGGATATGTTCACCATCTTTATGAGCAAAGTCTCCTGAAAAAAGGCTTAGTGACTCTATATCTCAAGGAGAAGAAGATTCTGAGAATAGGTGTATGTTATCAATGGAACTTTTTCTCTAAGGATATATCATTAGTAGAGGCTCCTAAATTATCAGGATATTGGACAAGTTTCGTAGCGAATGATATAAAAGCAAAGAGGAACCGTGATCCTTCATTCAGTCACAAACCTTGCTGGGTAGCTGTACACTATAACCAATAAATGATTTGATCTTTCATCTCTTCATAAAGAAATGAGCTTCCCTATCAAGTCCCTATCACTGCACTTACCACTAACTTTTTATCACCCTATTTTGGCATCCCGTCTTATCGGATGAACATACTGAAGAACCAAAACCATACCTTTTACACCGAACTGACTTCTCCGTCGGGGTTCTATTTCGTAAATGGGTCTTGCTTTCTGCGGTCACTTATCAGCTCTTATCAGCTGTTATGATTTCGATCCTGTCACATCACATGCCACACTTCCCACCACCTACTATAGATGTTTCCATCCTGCCACCTGTGCTCCTACTGAATTTGAACATTCTAGGTCTACGGAGACAGTTATTATTTTCCATACAGACATTTATTTCGCGCCAATCCTGCCTCTTATGGACGGGCTCCAGTCCTGCCAAGCATCATGAGTGCCTCCTGTAATCTTTCCAAACTTAACCTTTCTAAATCCATGGGGAATTGAACATCCTAGGTCCGCGTTGACAGGAGCTATGAATTTCCTGCAAACAGACAGACAGACAGACAGACAGACAGACAGACAGACAGACAGACAGACAGACAGACAGAGGGACGGACGGACGGACAGAGGGGGCGCTCTATATATAGTGAGGATAAGTATGTGTGCTTTAGTGAACGAGCTAAATCATGCTAAATCGAGGTGTAGCGAGGTGGCCTAGAAGGGGGATGAAAATGAAAATAAATGAGCGGATGAAACTCTGCCTTAGCGACCCCAGAAATAAGCCATGTCTGTGGTGAGATGTAAAGAGTAGACGAAATCGATTGGCATGAAGAACGCAAGTTTCGTCAATCAAGCGAATCGGGAACTGCTTCAGAAAAGGGCGGATAAGAGATCAACAAGCAACCTTGCTGCGTTGTGATATAGCGAAATGATTTAGATTCCGTAAGTCACAGCACAACGCGAGGCAAGTAGAACGCCCCTACACGTCAAGACCTAGAAGATATCCATTGCAGAAGTCTGCATTAGTCGGCAATGTGCCCACTCGCCACTATGCAGGACCATAGGCACATACCGTAACTATGGCACATGTACCGACCACGAGCGTGGAAATGGCAGGCAAGGCGAATATACAGAATAGCTAGTAGGGGACGTGAAGGGGAGTAGGCAGCGTATTCTAATTGCTTGTAGAGGAGGCAATTGCGTTCTGTTTATTACACGGGCAGATTACCTATTTACTTTGGTGTCATGTAAATCACATAGAAAAATGGCACTGTCTGCAGTATAGGCTGCACCATAATTATGCTCATTCGAGAGCTCTTGCATTGAAAAACTAAATGCCCGAACGATTAGTATTAGTAGTTTTTGTCTAATCATAGAGAAAATTTGTGCTCCGGCCGTGAATGCATGGCTGATCCCAAGCTAATATCGACAGAGGGCCTGCTTGTTCGAGCAGTGGAAGGAATAAAGTCAGAAAAGCAGTCATGTTTTAAGCGAGGCATCATTGGTGCCTGGGATTATGTATTCAGTAGGCTCACTCNTCTGTGGATTGTATTTGCGGAAGGAATTGTATCACTTACGTGGGAAAGCAGTGCTCTATTTTTCACATTCAAATAGGAGATCCGTGCGTAGTGCTACAAACTATCATGGGATCAAGTTGACTGCATCCACTATGAACACCTTACCATCAATCTCAAAACAACTGCGCTTCACCTAACTGGAATCAATCCTAAACCCTCTTACTACAAACACTGGAGAATATTAGAAAAAAGCATGCATAGACCGCCAGAGATTATCCTCTATGTCGAGGAAACCATACTTATGATACAGAGTTCCACGATTAGCTGAAATTGGAATGGACGAGCTTGCAGGAGCTGCTCAGAGTAGAGAAGCTTTTTCTACTTTCTGCTCATGTTTCTCAGCTTTGAAAGGTGAGTGAAGCAAATGCTAATGCTTGCGCTGAGAAAGGCATCTAAAGACCTTGATTCATTGAATATTTGCGGATTGACCAGTCCACCAAGATCATCTGAACCAGCGTTTGAATGTCTATCTAATAGCAGATAAGATGAAAGTTTTCCCCTGAACGCTTAGACGGTACTTCAACCTCTGTAGAGACTTAACATGAGCGGATCCTCCCATAATGAAAGTTTTGCGCCACAACGCTTAAGAGACGCGGTCACACTAGTTTCGAACTAGAGCTGGAGGCATCTGTTCGAGTAGTACATCTCATTAAACGGAGTATCGACGCTTTCAACTTCATTGATCTGCTCTATATAATCCCATATAGTTCCTACTGGGATGAGGATTTGATCCAGGGGCTTCATAAAGGGGTTCCGAAAAACACGCCTAGATAACTTCTGGGCTGACCAAGGAAAATTTGTGGTACAAATAAGCACTATCTGCACTGCTTCAACAGAAAGGATAGTAAGTCGCAATGGCCTTTTGAAATGAGTTGCATATCCACACATGTCTTTCTGCTAGACATGAAACGGAATCCACATTCCGAATCCGCTAAACGATTCGGGAAACGAAGTCACGGGAACATTTCTTCCAGGTAATATAGGATGGTTGAGCATGTATTGAGGTCGAAGCGCTAAGCGAGATGTGAAGCGATGAGCAACAGAAAACCTCTGGTCCCATGCAGCGCGAATCTATAAAATATACGCTAACGTCTTGCAAATCAGTTTCTCATCTCCCATTGACCGACGACTTACTGATATTTGCTCAAAGTGGGTTCCCCCTATGTCATTCCGCTTGATGCTCTGTTTTAGGGAGTCGGGGTTTTTTTNTTTTTTTATCAAGACCGATGTCGCCACTTTTAGGCGGTTACTCCCTTTGTGCACCGTTGTCAAGCCCCGTAATTCCTCCAGCGGTTCTACTCTTTCATGTTGCCAGGAACGAAGAGTATCTGAGTGCTCCACTCTCATAAATTGACGTGCCTATGCATATCTATTAGAGACGGAAAATAATGATCCCACCCAGTCTTCTGATGAGAGCGGAGATGGAACACCCTCAAAAGTTTGAGATTTTACTAAGAATATTTGTAGAATGGTTGCTTGGAAATTGGGAAATCGCCTGTCCGTGTTATGATTTCACCCGTAATCGTTGCTGCGGTAGTCGAGGTGGGATGGCCATCGTCTATAACTTCTCTATGGTTCACAAATTTGCTCTTTCCCTCTTGTGAAGAGCAATTTGCGCTCCATCACTACCTAATATTATGAACCGCGAGATTGTAAATTCTTAGTTGGCTCATGTCGACACCTCAATAATGCTGCTCCTTTTTTCACCTTAAAGGCACAGTTCACGATTAAATTAGGTACCCCTTTTTAGTCGAAAAGGGGATGTATAGGTTGCAAATAGTTCATCGGTAATGAAAAAAGCAAGCAAATTCGCCGATTTCGAGAGAAGTGGGGCTCCTCAAGAAAGCGAAAATGGAGCTTGGACTGGACTACCATGACGGAAATAACATGGAAGAGGTGTTCGGACGAGATTTTAGTTGTAGCAACTGTCGCCAAAGAGCTGACTAAAGCAAGCCAGAACTGTACGGAACTGCCTTTTACCGTAGCTACGGGTCACNCACAAGTTTGAGCTTGCTACATGGGTTCACTTGTGACTGGTGCAGCCTTTACAGTGCCGGAGTAACTCGTCTGTGTATGCACACGGTGCAATCTTTGAGCCTTTATAACGCCCTATATAGGCTGTTTTGCGACTGACAGCGCCACACATGGCATTTGAGGGGGGTTACAAATTCATCCTAAGTCTTATGTGATCACGAAGTCCCCAGTAATTATTACATTTTCTTGATTCACGAAGCGCGTCTTAGGTTCAATGATGTAAGAGCAGTCTGCTTCTGAATTGCTTCAAAGGTTGACAACTACTTCCATTCAAAAAGATGCAACCCGATACTAAGAGCCATTCCGATTCCAATTTTACCATAGTGCGTGACCAAGTATGAGGGAGCATTCCCTTCGAGTCAGAAAGAAGTCAGGGATGACCTTCATCCAGCAGATATTTCCTCCATTCCTTTTGGATAGAGATAGCTGCATTCAGTCAATGCTTGTTAATTGTTTTACAGGACTTCAACATACATTTTATAAAAATGCAAAAGTTCGCGCACGCGGGTTTCAAACCCTCATGCAACGTCTGCGAGTCCATTGCCTTGCCTGCTGAGCCACCGTTCAGCGATTCGTCCTCGATTCATGCTTGACAAAACCCCATATCACATGGAAAATATGCTCCCGTAACTTCTTTGACAGAATCGCTTGGTATTCTGGGATGCCGATTCAACATCAGCGTCCAAAAACTGATCTGAAGTCAATCCTTTTGAAGGCAGGATCAAGGAGAAACTGAACATGTGAGCTCGGAGACTTTCTCTGCTAGGAGGACTGTGAGGAAAAGGAAATAGCAGAAACAGCAGTGATGTAATGGAGACGGAGCGTTATACCTCTATACGATCGAGTACGCTTGTTCAAGATGAGTAGTGCGATGGTGCGGAGAAGCATAAGAGAGTCTAAGATTACACCGGGTTGAAAGCATGTGGTGGGATGGTTTCAATTGGATCAGTGCCGCCTTATTGAGTGCAGAAAGAAGAATCGACATACGATGAGAGTACCGAGCGGTCCTTATCTATGCCCACTATATCCCCAGTCATGAGGGTAGTCTTTCGGGCTCGCATAGCTAGGAAGACAGGAGTCATTAGCGGATCGCATGTTTGTCTCCGACTTTCCTACGAAAATGAGAGGTGCTGAGAGTAGTTCGTATGTGCAGTAGTCGCGTTGTACTTGCACGGCTTTTCTTCAATGCATTGTCTGCAATGCAAGCACCAGCAACAAGTCACTCGCTCCTGTCTTTCGTAATTGCCAACCACGGTTAACTCGGATGCCGATGTGAGGAGTCGTTCAGCTGCAGTCGCAGCTGTTTACCGTGGTCGAAAAGCCCATGCCCCATCTTGCAGCAGGCCTTCCCTTAGGCCATGAAGATCCTACAGGGTCCAATTCAACAGTTCTTCTTGTCAATCTTTATCACCTCTTTTCATGATATGAACTTCTTCTTCTTCTTCTTCTTCTTCTTCCTAGCGTTAATCCCGCGCCGTCTCAGGGTCCGCTGCTTCTCATGATATGACCGGCCCATGAAAATTTGACATTTTTCGTGCACACTACAGGTTTGCGAAGGAGAAACATTCTGCCCTTATTAGAGCCGCGTTGTCCAACTCGATGTTGAGTGACCCTGTTGAACCTCAAAAGTACCGCCCTGTGCTCTAAGCTCACGCTCGAAGTCTTCTTCGACTCACCCAAGTCTGCGACGCGCAAGAGAGCGCAAGAAGAACTGCGGCGTTGAACAGACTAGCGCGAAGTTCCGGATCAGGCGGATAGTTGGTGACCTCTTGAATTGATTTTGAATCGAATTGATTTTGAAGGCCACCCACGCTGCTTTCTGTCGCCTTACCGATTTCCCCTTCATGTCGTTGTCCGTGTTCAAGGAGCGTCCGATGTTAACGTAAGACGAGGTCTTCCTGACAGGTGTGCCATCGACCTTAATTCGACCTTCGCCAGCCTTAGCTTTCTTCAGGAAGCGTGCTTTTGTTTGATTGATACGCAGCCCTACCTTCTTCTCTGCTTTCCTGCTTCATTGAGCTCTGCAAGCACAGTCGCAGCTACGCAGCTACATAGGCGCAACGTTGTTTGAAAAGGGAATAATGTCGTTCAGGGAGCGGAAACTTGTAAGAAGATCTGTTCATTCACCCAAATGTCCCTCTAACATCAGTCTAGTGACTTCATAACCCACTGCAGTGCGGCTATGAACAGCTGCAGCAAAATAGTTTAGCCCTTTCTCACGCCTTTCCCAATGTGAATAGCGAGAGATCCTTGAAACAGCTGCAACGTCGCACTGCAATGACTGCTACAGTCGACTAGTGTTCTCATATAGGGAGGCCTCACCCCTTGGGCGACTAGTGCTGACAAGACCGCATTCATTTCGACACCATCAAAAGTGAAGTGCACGATATTAGCGCAGGGGATGGAAATTTCAGCAGTAAAGGCATTGGTGGCCTTCTCAATCTAGCAAAGGAATACCAAGATGAACAGCGGAGATGAGTCCGACCATAACCAGTGATCTCTTGCGATACTTACCGCTCTGCGAGCTATGGGTCGTGGTCAGTAGCATCATAATGTGATCTCCGTTATCATAAGGTTAAGAGAAACACCAAAAAGCCTCAATCGCTGCTGACCGTTGCCTGTGGCAACAGCGGATTCTCTTAACGGTGGAGCCTGGTGGGTATTTCATGAATTGGGCAGTTCTCCAATGAAATTCAGTCTTTGTTTTGTTAGAGGGATTTAACGATATTACATTTACATCACACTTATTTCCGTTATTCATCTGACTCAAACAGAGAAACGGGCCATGATCTCGAACCATTCAGAAGTTGCTGCCGTGTTCTTCCATTCTGTTCCCACAAACATCTTGGAATCATCTTCACATTGTGCACGTAGTCGTCCCACCGATCTATTACCGCAGGGCTTTCATTTTATCAGCCTTACTTCCCACCTTGGCTGATGAAATGTTGTCATTAATTTATTTGCATGGAATCACTTGCACTTTCTGGCTTCGACCATTGCGTCCTTAATTTCAACCATTGTTCGTAGTCCTGCATTTGATACCCTGTCACGAAGTTGGAGACTCTACATTTGACGCTCCATTTCAGTGCTATCTTCTGCTTTCTTGCTTTAAGCCCACTTTTCACATCCATACAATAGAGTAGGTAAGACGCAGTTGTGAAAGAAGCGTCGCTTAGTCATAAGCGGTGAGCCACAGAGCTCGAACTTTTCTGTTAATGTTCCACGCAGCAGAGATCCTCCGATTGACTTCTTGCCCACGATGTTGGAAGGAATCATACAAGTTGGCTCAAATATATGAAAGACGACGACACACGACGACACAGCTCAATTTCTTCATCATTGACTCCGAGCTGCTGTCCATTACGGTTGTTTGACATCCATTTTGTTTTGCTCGAATTCACTTTGAGTCCGGCCATCTTGGTCAGATCAATGAGTTTATCAAGCATTGCTTGAAGCCCATAGTTGAGCACAGAAACAGATCGTCGGCGGAGGCGAGATAGTTAAGGCGTTCAATGAGGTAGCCTTGGTCGCCCCAATCGATTTCTTTAAGTCACGATTGAAGCGTTAGAATAAATAGCAGTGGTGATAAGAAATCGCCTTATCAACAACACTTTGTATGTCTATGTCCATCTTCATTGTGCTCCCAGGGCCAAAAACGATCGTCCAGCAACATACAGCTGCTTGATCACTCTAACTGTGCAGTCATCAAATCCATAACTTGTCCAGTGCTTTCCAAATGATTTTATATTCGATTGTATCAAAAGCCGCCGGTTAGTCAATAAAAACCATGCTAAGTGATTTTCTCCATTCCTTACATTTTTTGCACTAATTACTACATTCAAGTTAATTGACGGGATGTGATCTCGAGTAGAGAAGTTACGTCAAAACTAGCTAGTTCTTTTGGGATGTGCTCCGTAGCCACTTCCCCCACATTACCCGTCAGTGCGCGGGTTGGAACTTAGAGGACAGTTGACAGGAGAGAGAGTGGTCTGCACTTGCTGATAATCAGTGAATCGCCTTTTTTATAGAGGAGGGTCGCTTTTGCCTTCGTGAAACTTTCTGGGAGCTCATTGACCTCGAAATATTAGTTCAGTATTAGGTTGATGCATAATTATTACTAATTTTTTTCAGCAAATTTTACTTGAAGAAACGATAGGAATATTTAGCAAAAAAATGTTCAACTGATTACTTAGGAACTTATCCACTATTTACATCAGGCACTGCTTCCCATTTGCTAGGCAGTCGAATTCCAGGGCAAAGAAGTTTCGATTCTTGGCGGCGATCCGCGCCTTGACGTCGGTCATCAAGATCCTTACTCGTCGAAAGTTCTGTTCGTTAGCCAATTTTTCAACGGACAGTTGACATGATAATCCAAAGGAGTTTCCTTTAGTGAGTGGATGGATGAAGCAGCAGATCCCATTGCTTGCTTTAACTGGCTTTCTCTTACTGTTCCATCGCCGAAGAGTTCGTTGAGATCGCTTAATGACTCCGCTAGCTTCCAACCTTTCTAGAAGTAATAGAGCATAATGTGGCGTATATCAAGATGACTTTCTAGCCCGAATTCAATATTCAAATTGTATAGAGAGAAGAAGCCGCAAAAAATCCACGTTAATTACGCATCAGCCTAATTCATTCGCAAGGTCTTCCGCGCATAAAAGTATCAGATGCTTCGCCACTCCAGATGGGATTCTAGCTCCAGGTGCAGTGTTTCCACGCATTCTCCTTCATGCATTACGGAGCTCGTCTGCTGTTATTGAAAGTTTCGAAGAACCGATCGCTGAGAAGGCAAAGGGACCATCACGGGATCTGTAGAGGACATAGTAGAAAGTAGTTGCAATGCCTCATGTCTTGCATGTCTTATCTTCAATTTCTTTGTCGCATTTTTCATGGCTCATTTGTTGTGCTTGCGGAGATCATCTCTTAGTGACCGTCTAACTTGTTTGCACACTAACGTGTATAGCATAACAGAATTCACCCACTTTCAAGTCCAAACATATGTTTTCTTTTTTCATCCATTCGCGCCTGTGTTCTAGAAGAAATTCGCGCCTTTCTTTCCTGCTGTATTTGTAATACAGTTATGCAATCACACGCAGCCTTCACGAAACTTTGATTCAAAGCCATTTACCGGACGTGGCTGCATTGCTATTGCTACTTGAAGTCTGAACTTGTCAAGAAGGAGGCAGCGGTATTGTCTTTTACTGGAAATGGGCAGGTTTCGCGCAAACATGCTTAGAAATTTTGCTCAAAACGCGATCTATTTCACTGAGAGTGTTTCCTTCTAGACTTCTCCGCTTCGTTCCAATTCCTTTGTTGAAAAATGCATCCGCGATAACAATTTTATAGTAGTCGCAGAACGAAAACAGCGAAATAACTCGGTCATTCCGGTAGCCAATTTCAAAAGGTCCGCAGGCAATTTCTTTTTTTCCCTAACGTCCAATAATTGCATTAAAGTCGCTGCAAATGATTTCCGTGCTCTATTTTTTGTAGTCTGAATAAATCCAAGACGTCTTCGTTTTATAAGAAATTCGGCTTGTATTGCGCGACCACTAATGTAGCGTACACCAACAATACTGTTCATACTTAACGAGATGTATAACCCTACACCAGCATACGTGGGAGCGAGCACCTTCACAACGACCACTGTTGTGACGTTGCTCCCACGATATATCCAAGTTGGGTGCGCTCACGGTTCGGACTTCGAGTTGCAGCGAATCTCTATTTCTTGACACTGGCTTCGAAATCCGCGAGTCGCTGTTGAGAGCACAATCCTCGTGAGTTGACTGTGGCCATCTACATGAAGGTTCTTGCACGAGAATCGCTACTGCCGGGTGGGTTTGACGGCAAAGTCATCGCTGACAGGAAAACAATAGTCCGCGGGGAGAGTAGACGAAAGAGATTCTACTGGATCTGTAAGCCATCTCTAATTGCATTTAGGCCTCTGAGGACGCTCAGAGGCCTAAATGCAATTAGAGATGGCTTACAGATCCAACAGAATCTGCTCAGTAAGGCGAAACGTTAAATTTTTACGACGCAAACGACCATCTAAGCAGTTGATTCCCTTCCTCTTTCTCCAGTCATAAATGGATTCTGAGGTCCTGAAGGTTTAGATGGCGTTTTTTAAGACTAGCCCTGTTCAAGGTTGTCTCCAGTAGTTTCTTCTCTCTTTATAGCTGAACATCTCACCGCACTGCTTGTCTGTAGCTGAGATTTTATTTATTTATTTAGTAACATGTACAGTCAGTACATGAACAGGTAACACATCCTACTCCAAAAGCAAATCACATAAGTAATCAATATCCAAGAGAACCTGGTAGTAAAAGGAAGCTGATCAAGCAAAAGCCAATAAAAGAGAAATACTACCTTATGTAACTTCCACTTATGCAAAACTAAAATGAATCTAACCAGTGTAGCTCTCAGCCAAGTATTGTTTCAGTGCTCTTTTGAACTGCGACAAAGTTTTAGGCAAGGAATATTTCTTGACAAATTCACGAAGTTCGGAAGATGCCCGATTGACAAAGAAATTTTCTCTAACGTTGGACCTAGACCTAGGAAAGTATGGTTCCAAATTATTCCCACGAGTGTTGGCTGGTTAAGGAGTGAGAGCTCCCCCTAAATCAACAATTGATCTCCCAGCGAGTATTCTAAATAGCATAACCACATCCTGCTTCTTCCTTCTACCAAAAAGCGACTCGATTCCGAGCTCCCATTTCTTGTAGCTGCTCTAGGGATGGATTTATAACAGAAACCTAAAGCCCGAGTCAAGACTTTCCTTGTAAAACTATTCTGAACAGCTTCCAGTCTAGCGAGATCCTTTTCGATTCGAGGAAAGAATACTTCCGTTCCATATTCAAGAATTGGGCGCACATATATTTTGTAAGCTCTTACGAGTATGCCGTGGTCCCTAGTATATAGGGTTCTCAACAGTTAGAAAAGCCTCTTCTCGGCTTTATTTGCTATCGTCGTACAATGAGAATCGAACATCAGTTGATCAATTATGAAGCCCGGATCTTTCATCCCCCTCATTGAGCTGATCACCATCCATGAAATAATTTGAACCGCATCGATTGCTTCCTAAATGCAGAAGTGAAGATTGATCATCAGCCAAGGGAAGGTCCCATTCTTTGGACCAGCTCAATGCCGCAGCTATAGCATCCTGTACTCCTCATCAACCAAGATCGACTTATACATTTTAATATCGTCAGCGAAAACTTTGCAGTTAACGCCGGCCT